CAGTAAAACATTTTTGGGCATGTGCTCAAACATTTATGTGTTTATTTACTCATTTATAAAGTTTATGCCACAATTAGAAAAAAAATACAATTTCCCAAATGAGGACTTTTATCAACTTAGAATATGGAACTGGCCAGTAAAAATCTCCTATTTACCATTAAATTTAGTGAAATGCTGCCAAATATAAACTGATTTTAAACATTAAAAACAAACAAGAAAGGAAAATAAAAACATCTCAAGTTGTCTTCATATGTTGGAAAATATTTTTAAACATCTTGCTACTTAGGATGACCTCATCTCACCATTGGCTAATGTTTCAAAGAACAATATGTACTTGAAGAGTAGCTTATTGTTAATAGTAGTTATTAAATAGGACTTCAAATAGTCTTCTTTAAAATTTGGCACTTTTGGGGGCAGCTGGGTGGCTCAGTCTGTTGAGTATCCAACTCTTGGTTTTGGCCCAGGTCATGATCTTAGGGTAGTGGGACTGAGCCCCAATTCCGGCTCCACACTCACTGGGGAGTCTGCTTGAAAGATTCTCTCCCTCTGTTCCTCCCCTACTTGTACATGTGCGCTCTCTCATAAATAGGTAAATCTTAAAAAAAAAAAAAATGGTACTTTTTGATTTCTCAGATCCAGATATCCATTTAAGTTTTAATTTTATTATTTTTTTTTTAAAAATTTATTTGTTCATGAGAGACACGGGGGGCAGGCAGGCAGAGACACAGGCAGAGGGAGAAGCAGGCTCCATGTGGGGAGCCTGATGTGGGACTTGATCCTGGGTCTCCAGGATCACACACTGGGCTAAATGCGGTGCTAAACCACTGAGCCACCCGGGCTGCCCTATTTTTTAATTTTTTAAAAAGATTTTGAGAGCAGGAGCAGAGGGAGAGGGAGAAGCAGGCTCCCGGGTGAGCAGGGAGACCAATACATGGCTCTAACCCAGGGTCCTGGGGTCATGACCTAAGCTGAAGGCAGCAGGTTAGCTGACAGAGCCACCCAAGCACCCCCCATTTTTTTTTTTTAAATCTCATAGTTTATATTTGGAGAAGTGGCAGCTCTGCCATTTTCTTACTGCTTACTTGTGTTCACATACCAGTCTTCAGTCTGCAGCTTCTTTGAAAGAATCTTTTAAAGCCACTTGGCATTTTGGTGAAGGTTAATTTAGTTAAAACTGGATAATTCAAATCTTAACATGCACTTGTATAATTCAGTAGGTCATAATTCAGAACCAACCAGTGAAGTAGTTTTCACATGTGAACAGACTCCCTTCTCTCAAGAGACCTGAGGCCACCTGACACATTGAGTAATTGAAAGCACTTGTGTCTTTATGGACTGAAAAACCACATTTTAAAATGATTTTATTAGACTTCTAAGTAAAAATATAAAAAGTGTATTTCTTCTTAAACTCTACTGGGTCCTCTTGCACACCCTCTGTGGTGTACTATTGCACTATGGAAAGCACGGGTTTAGAAAATGCACAGCCCTCTCTACAACATCAAAGCATGCACTAGTTACACTTATGTTTATTCAGTATACAGAAAAGTCACGGAAAGCCTATGATGTAGTTCCCTGCAGTATCTCTGTCTCTCTCCAAGCCCAGGCTTTATGGCCCAGTCTGGCAACCACTGAAGAAGCATTACAGGAGGGAAACCTATTTGACAAAACGGATACTCATCTTTTGACGAAGAAGAAAAAATAAAAGCTTGGTCAAGAAGGAGATAATGGAAGCGACAGATATCCCAATATCAAACTCTAATGGTGCTCTGTTTCAGCATGTTTTTCATGAATGTCATGTCATGATCATGCCAATTCTGGCTTAGTCATGTTATTTATACAAACATGTAACCTGTTATGTATTATTCTGGACTCTTCTGTCACACAAGAGTAATTATAGTACATATATATATTCTTTAATCAGCTGGAAAGAGAGGAAAGGAAACAGAACTTTGGCATAGAGTATGTTTTCTGAGTAGTAAGGATTATAGTATGACTTGTTTTTACTATTATTGAATCATACTAGTAATTTTCCAACTTGGATTTTTTTTTTTTAAGATTTTATTTATTCATGAGAGACACACAGAGAGAAACAGAGGCAGAGAGAGAAGCAGGCTCCATGCAGGGAGCCCGACATGGGACTCGATCCTGGGTCTCCAGGATCAAGCCCTGGGCTGAAGGCTGCGCTAAACCATTGAGCTACCAGGGCTGCCCCAGCTTGGATCTTCATATGATCTTTACTACTAGTATAAACATATTTATCTTTATTTACTTGAGATGTAATTTTCTCAATCTTTTGAGATTCCCTAGAAAATATTTTTAAATATTTTTTTAAACAAGTACAATTTTATTCAAAAAATGGCTAACCTAACCTAGTCAAGACCAGATACTTTAAAAAATATATATATGGTAAGACTAACACAGCCAATCTTTGAAAGAACAAAATTCAGTGGTTTCAGAGGAGATTTAGTGCATAGTCAAATATCTATGACTTAGTCTAAACATCTTGTCTTTTAGAGAGGAACAAAGAGATGCTGGATAAAAATGTCAAAGGTCCGTTTTTGAGAACATATTACAACCATCTGGATATGCGAAGTTTTTTCCCCCAGTACCAATATAAGTTTTAGATTATTAGTAGCGAACGAAACAGGTTTAGAAAACGTTGATGTCAGAAGTCAGTCTTGAGAAGTAAGTATATTTTGAAGTAACATTTATGAAAACTCAAGAACTTGAATACATGCCAGTCGTTCTTAAGGTTATTAGATCTCCACACTCAGAAACATCAGAAAATTATAGTCAACACACTAGACCGTGGTTCAAATTTTTGGAGCAGATTTATTTAAAATCTCAGAGTAGCTGGAAAGCCTTTTTTTTTTTCTTTCTTTCTTTCTTTCTTTCTAAAATACTGGGGCACAATTACACTATTTAAAGACGTACTGTTTCCAAACTATGCGGGAAATAAAGTACTGTATTCTGGCCAATACTCCAGTGAGGCCAATTTACCTTCACCTTAGCCTGTAAGGCACAGTCCTTTGCAGATGTCATTTAGCCACATCATAAATGTCTGCTTTGGATAGTCAAATTTTCCAAAGGGAGCCGAACTTTCATGGGTGGGGCAAGAGACTCGAGAAGGAACAGGATTCGTTTTGGCTTGCTTCAGCCTTGGGGGCGGGCAAATATTTGGTACCACACCCTCAACAAAGGCCTAACACAGCAACGAGTCGTGTCCAATCAACCCACTTCTGGTCTACCGTGACAATCCCTAGGGAACTAAAAAAACAAAAAAAAAAAAACGAGGCGAAATAGAAAAGTGAGCACGTTAAGTTTGGCGGCGGCGGGGCTGAGGGCGCCCAGAAGACGGAGGTGGGACACGGTCAAGGAAACGTCCCTCATCCTCATTCTGCTACTGCACCTAGGGTAGAAGAATACCGTACCCCCCCCCACCCCCCACCCCATAAATAAAACCGTTTCAAGCCTCCTCCTTCTACCTTCCGCGTCTGCCTCGGTCGCTCACCTCTCACTTTCTGGAGCAGAGCATTACTCAGCACGAAGGCGGCAGCGAGCGAGCGCCCTCCCGGAGCCGGGGGCGGGCGGGGGCGGCGGGGGTCGCCGGGGGCGAGGCGCCAAGGGGGACGGCGGCCCGCCCCCGCCCCCGCCCCCCGCGCTGCAGGACGCGCACCTGGACGTGGGAGCCGCACGGCGCGAGCTGACCCGCCGCGGCCCCCGGGGCGGCGGGGGCGGCGGGGGCGCCGAGGGGCGGGCTGGGGCCGGCAGCCCCGCGGGCGGGGAGGAGGCCGCGCGGACCCGCCGCTCCCCTCGCGGGCGCCCCCGCCGCGGCGCACGCCCCCCGCCCAGCCCCTGTCCCCAACTTCAGCCCTCTGCCCCGCCGGCCCGCCCCGGGCTGCGCTGCCCTCTCCCGGAGCAGGCGGCGCGCCTCCTCCCGACCCCCTTCCCTTACCTTTCCATTTTTGGGGCTGCCGTTTAGGAACAGGGTCACCCGCCTCATCGCGCTGCCCCCACTGGGTCCTGAGTGAGTCGCCACCCTCCCACCTGGCTCTCCTCCCACCTTCTTCTTCTCCCGCCCTTCCCCTCCCTCCACCCACGCGGACTCTCCTCCCTTCGCCACCTTCCTTCTCTTAGGGAGACACACGAGCACGCACTCCCGGTCCCACACCCCTGGCTCGGCCGGTCCTCCTTCCCACCCCGCCCCTGGGCTCCTCCGCCAGCCTGGGACCCTTCCCCCACCGCTCCCGGACTGACTCTAAGCTCCACCAATCAAGCGGCAGCTCCGGCCAGGACTCAGCCAATCACCGCCCTGCATTGGGTGGGCTCATCCTAACCCAGCCCAGGTGGAGGGAGGGAAGAGAGGTTGCTGTCTTGCAGACGGGAAGGGTTATCAGCCAATCAGCACAACCTGCAGCCGAGCGGCGCCTCGCGGCGTTACTGAGCACGCGCAAACCCAACACCAGGTAGCGCTCATTTGCATAGGGGGGCGGGGCTGGAGGGAAAGAGGTGGAGCGCTGGCGGGGACGCACGCGAGTCGCGGTCGCCGCTTCCCACTCTCGGAAACCGCGGACGCAACGGCTGCTGTCGGGACTGGATGATTGGGCAAGAGCCCGCCCGTCGTCCTGCCAGGATTGGCCCAACGATTCTTTTCGAAGTTCGCAGCGTCCAATTGAAAAGCGGGGGGGGGGGCGGGGGCGGGGCTAAAGGCCTAACCGAAGGGTTCCTCCGCGAGACTCTCACGGGAAGTAGTCCCCTCGGGTGCAGGGTAGCAGTCGGGGCTCTGCGGTGGGTGCGTCCCCCCGCAGCTGGCGGGGGCCTCTCTTGAGCTCACGAAGCCCCTCCGGGTGCCGGGACGACGAGGTAGGGGCCCGGGAGAGTGCGGGGTGCGCGTGGACACGTGTGAACCGAGGCGGCGTAGAGATTCGTGGGGGCAACGCCGGGACCAGGGGGCGGGGCTGGCGATTTGAATCTGGCGGCGGGCGGCGGGCGGCCGCGAAGGCGAAGGCGAAGGCGAAGGCCGGGGAGCAGGCCGCGGGGGTCGGGGTTCCCCGGGGCTGACGAGGCAGCCTTTGGCGCCCGGGGTTGGCTTCTCGAGCGAACCGTCAGCGGCTGCTCGACACTCAGCCTGCGGTGGAGCGTTGCGGATAAGCCCGGTGGGAGCAGAGCCAGGCTGCGGGAGTGAGGTAGGGCGGCAAGGAGCCCGGTCCCCAGAGCGGCGGCTTGGAGGGCCTTTCTCCGGAGCGGGGTCTTCCTCCCTCCGCTCCACGGACACAGGGGTCCTCTTGCGACCTGAGCCCCGCCCCCCGCGTGCTTTCTAAAGTGCGGGTTGCCTGGAGCCCGGCCAGACCTACCTCCGTGGGGATCCGCAAAGCTGGGTCTTGAACAGAATCCCAGCGGAATCCCGCGGAAGTTCGCCAAGGTTGAAAAGCCAGGACTTCTAGTGGGGGGTCTGCTTTGTTTGATCCCCAACAGCAGTTTCCTCCATTTCTCTCTCTCTCTCTCTCTCAAGTTCTCAAGATACCCTCTCGACGTCTCTTTTCATGCCTGTACAGGTTGTGTTAGGGTTTCGTCTTGATCGAATCACGTCAATATTGGAATGGGGTTATTTCTTTCTTTTTTTTTTAGATGGATACCGACTCAAAGGACAGTAGTGAGCCTCTTGAAACCAAGGAGCCTGCTATTCGTGATGCTGGTATGTAGTGATCTCTTGCCTCCTTGTGAGATGTAAGGATTAGGCGTTTGTCTTCCTGATGGTGTTTAGCCCTCACCCGTCTGTTGTCAGTTGCAGAAGATACCTCTTTGATTTTGGGGAGTGGGAGTCTTGTAACTCCTCAGAAGCATACACCTGATGTGTTTCCTAGAGATTGCACAGCAGATGCTTTCAAGACACCTTTGGACTTTTCCACGGTAACAGTAGAGCAATTGGGAATTACGCCTGAAAGCTTTGTAAAGAACTCTTCAGGTAAGAGAGGTTGTCCTCCTGTTGCGGTGCTTTTAAACTTCAAAAATAACTTTAATATAACTCAGTTTTGTTCACCTGCTCTGTCTCATTACTTTGACGCTGCAAACGTTTGATTAGGGAGATTTCTGTGAACATGTGCAGTGCGCCTCACATATGGCAGAATACCAGGTCCCCAGGGCCCTGAGAGCGGTAAGGTTGAGAAGTGTGCTCAGTTTCCCAGACTGGAAAAGAATCCATACGTGAGTCACTTTTTGACCTCACACACTTGGGATTAGGACTCTGTATACTCTAGTTATAAATTTTATACTTACAAATGACAAAAATAAGGGAAAGGAGAAGAGCAGTTAAGAAAGATTGGGGTATGCCCTCTTTGAAAATCATGAACAGAAAATTCACTGGGGCTCATCTTCAAGGAGTAGAGGTGAAATTCACCCCTGAAGTCTGATTTAGCTAGAGATGAAACAAACGTGGAAATGGAATTAAATTGGAGAACAGCCTTAAGAAATGGAGGGTGATAGAAGGCCGGAAAGTTAGAGGACCCATTAGATAATGCATGATTTGGACAAGACCACAGTGGCATGCCATTCTGTGTTTCCTTGTCAAGAACATTATTCATAAGCCTTAAAAAAAAAAAAACCCAAACAAACAAGGGACACCTGGGTGACTCAGCAGTTGAGCATCTGCCTTTGGCTCAGGGCATGATTCCAAAGTTTCGGGATCGGGCTCCCTGCATGGGGCCTACTTTTCCCTCTGCCTCTCTGTCTCACGAATAAAAAAATAAAGTCTTAAAAAAACGAAACTTGGAATTATTTTGTGCTCATCAGCATATGGCCAGAATTCAGTGTAGTGTGCAGAAGGTAGATTGCTATCTCAGAGAAACAAATTACCTTGAAGAATTGAGAACATGAGGGTACATGTGCCTAAGTGCGAGTTTTCCTCTCAGTTCTTGGGGATAAGATGAACTAATTCAGATAAAAGAGAAGTTCTTGGTCCAGAGCAAGCCATTACCCATCCCCGTGAGCAGGACATATGAAACAAAAATGAGAACCATTAAAATGTATTCACATGTTCACTCCACAGGTATCTGATCAATGCTTAGGGCTAGACACTTTCAGAAGTGTGGAATAAATCAATTGACAGCCCTATTCAATTACTTGTTTGTAAATAATATTGCCTGTAATTCTCTATTTAGATTTCTGTAATAGGTGTTTATCACGTTCTCTCTTTGTCTGGTATGTTACAGGGAATTCAGTACATGATTACTGGTGATTGCCTTGTTTTGTTCCAATTTAAATGAGAATTTTCGTTATAGGAAAGTCATCATCCTACCTTAAAAAATCCAGACGACGCTCTACAATTGGTGCCCGGGGCTCCCCTGAAACAAACCATCTTATCCGTTTCATTGCTCAGCAGAGGAGTTTAAAGAATGCAGAGAAACCCCCTTTGACACAGAATTCCCCTTTTCTGGTATGATACTCTTCTAAGTTCTGTCATGAATTCTTCTGGGGAGAATGTTTCATTTTGTTACAAAGCTTTCTTAAGGTGTTTCCACCTTCTTGTGCATCTCATCCCTTTTGGATCTGGAGAAATATTTTCTCTGTCTTACAGAGAGTGTTGAGTTAGCATTTATGGTGAGGTTGAATATGGCCATGTTAAGAATTAGGAAATCCTGGATAGAAATAGTTTTCTAGAGGAGCTGTTTCATTTTGCAGGGCTTTTTGTTTTTTGTTTTTTGTTTTTTTTTTGTTTTGTTTTGTTTTTTTTTTTGGCCATTTAATGTTTTCCTCTCTAATGAAGTGAAGCAGTGTTTTTCAGTCTTTTTCTTTTAATACCTGTAAGTGTCTTAATTTTTTTTGACTATAACATATTGGCATGTAGGGCTAAGAAATCCCCCAGGACAAAACATTTGGGATAGACTTTGAAAAAAGGAAAAAAGTACTTGTCTGCTGATGAGAAAGGATGTAGATGTTTTTTGTGGATTTTTTTTCAGAATAACACGTGTTCCTAAAAAGTCAAATAGTGTACAAGGGTTACTATGAAAGACACAGTTAATGCTTCCCCTTCTTGAAGGACAACCATTTATTGTCTCTTTTAGTATTGGCCTTCCTATTTTAAAATGTACTCACATTGCCACTTCTATATTTTTCAGTTTTAGACACTATGCACAAGGCTGCGTCGTACGGTGGTTCTCAGAGATTATCTGCCCATCCTTGGGGATCCCTGAGTCCATTCAAGAGATCTAAGAGGTTAAACGGGGTTTTTGTAAAAGCACTGAGCTATTTGCCTTTTTCCACTATGTTGATGTTTGCACTCACAGTGCAGAAGCAACAGTCGGTCAAACTCATGGCACCATGCTGTCAGTTTATTCCACACTGCTAAGCCTTCACAGGAAATGATAATGCCAGGTTCACTTAATATCCTTGGGGATGCAGTGAAAACTAAATTTTATTAATTCTCCACCCTTGAGTATTATGTGTGATGCAATGGGAATACTGCATCAGGCACTTCCAAAGTACGTACAGAAGTATGATGGATGTTTTGAAAAAAACGTGTGTGTGATTGTTTTGAGCTGTGAGCTTGAACTGTGCCTGTGTTTTTTTTTCGTAGAATGGCATTTTTACTTGAATGACTGACATCATGGTTATACCTGGGATTGCGAACATTTTCTCAAAAATGAACAGTGAACCTGCCCTTTAAAGGAAAAACTGAAATATTCATTTTTAATGAAAAAGCTTGAGTTTTCAGGAGAAAATCAGAACTTTGGAAAACTTCTGTACGGCACCATGAGCTTGAGAACTTCCCACTAGCTAGACTTTTCTAATAAGATCAGTGGCCGTATTAATGAATGCGATTTTTTTATATTATGTAATAACAGGTGTCAACATTTGGAAGATTTGCATAACGAAGTGAACCAATATTTTCCTAATGACTAGTGCATGCACAAAATACCCTCAAATTGCAAGAGTCTCACAGATTTTAACATAACAATACAAAAAGTTCATAGGATTTCATATTTGATGTTGCAACTAACCTTTAGGAAATCTTCATTGAATTTTGTGTTTCACTAAAGAATAGCCACAATTCTGAAAAGGCTAATAAATACTTTCAATAGCTATAATGCACATGAACTAAGAGATCCTTTGGTGATCTCTTAATTTTTAAGAGTGTAAAGACTTCCTAGGAACTGCTCTTGGGTAGATTCGAATATGGACTGTGGAACCATTTGTTGAGGTTTGATCCTGGCTTTATTATTAATTAATTGTGCCTTTGGAAAGTTAATTTCTTTTTATTCAAATTTTATTTTTAAAGTAATCTTTATACCCATTGTGGGGCTCCACCTTATAACCCTGAGATCAAGAGTTGGGTGGTGCTCTATAGACTGAGCCAGCGAAGTGCTTCAAGTTACTTAATTTGTTTCAGTTTTCTCTGATATAAAATGGAGGTGATGATAATAGCAAGATTTTTAAAGAGGATGATTAAATTAGTAGAGGTGAAGTACTTAGACCTGTGCTTGGAACATGGTATGCTTTAGATTTACTGTCATTGTAATTATTTCTGTGAAAAGTAAGGATTTTGCTCTCTTATACCTCTTAGCTATAGTTATCCTAACACAATCCCTTGTCCTCATCTGAGGTTCCAATACAATTACAATTTTTTCTATTTTTAATCTAAATCTGATTAACGTATAGTGTATTATTAGTCTCAGAGGTAGAGGTCAGTGATATATCAGTCTTATGTAACACCCAGAGCTCATCACATCCCATGCCCTCCTTAATGTCCATCACCCAGTTACCCCACTCCCCCTCCTCCAGCGACCCTCAATTTCCTATGATTAAGAGTCTTATGGTTTGTCTCCCTCTGATTTCAGCTTGCTTTATTTTCTCCCCTCTTTCTCTATGATTCTCTGCATTGTTTCTTAAATTCCACATATGAGTGAAATCGTATGATAATTGTCTGAGTTATTTTGCTTAGCGTAACACTCTCTAGTTCCATCGACATTGTTGCAAATGGCAAGATTTCATTCTTTGATGGCTAAGTAGTAGTTCATTGTGTGTGTAGTGGTGAGTAGTAAACCACATATTTATCCATTCATCTGTCGATGAACATCTGGGCTCTTTCCATAGTTTGGCTCTTGTGGACGTTGCTGCTATGAACATTGAGCTGCAGGTGCCCCTTTTGATCACTACATTTATATCTTTGGGGTAAATACATAGTAGTGCAATTGCTGGGTCGTAGAGTAACTCTATTTTCAACTTTTTGAGGAATCTCTATTCTGTTTTCCAGGGTGTCTGTACTTGCATTGCCACCAACAGCATAAGAGTGTTCCCCTTTCTCTGTGTATCTGTTGATTTTAGCCATTCTGACCAGTGTCAGGTGGTATCTCGTGGTTTTGATATGTATTTCCCTGATGCTGAGTGAGCATTTTTTCATGTGTCTGTGGCCATTTGTATGTCTGCTTTGGAGAAGTGTCTGTTCATGTCTTCTGCCTATTTCTTGGTTGGATTATTTGTTTTTTGGTTGTTAACTTTGATAAGTTCTTTATAGGCTTTGGCTCTTTATAAGACATTTGCAGATATCTTCTCCCATTCTGTTAGTTGTCTTTCAGTTTTGTCAATTGTTTCTTTTGCTGTGCAAAAACTTTATCTTGATGAAGTCCCAATAGTTGATTTTTGCCTTTGTAGGTAGACATGTCTAGCAAGAAGCTGCAGCGGCTGAGGTCACAGAGGTTGCTCCCTGTGTTCTCCTCTAGGACTTTGATGAATTTTTGTCCCACGTTAGGTCTTTCAACCATTTTGAGTGTATTGTTGTGCATGGTGTAAGAATATGGTCATTTCATTCTTTTGCATGTGGCTGTCCAGTTTCCCCAGCACCAGTTTGTTAAAGAGACTGTTTTCCTTTGGATATTCCTGCTTTGTTAAAGATTAGTTGACCAGAGAGTTGAAGGTACATTTCTGGGTTCTCTATTATGTTCCATTGATCTATGTGTTTGCTTTTGTGCCAATACCAAAGTGTTTTGATGATTACAGCTTTATAATAAAGCTTGCAGTCCAGAATTGTGATGCCACCAGCTTTGGTTTTCTTTTTCAATGTTGCTTTGGCTATTCGGGGTTTTCTGGTTCCATACAAATTTTAGGATTATTTGTTCCAGCTCTGTGAAAAATGTAAATGGTATTTTGATAGGGATTGCACTGAATGTATAAATTACTCTAGGTAGCAGATATTTTAACAATATTTGTTCTCCAATCTGTGAGCATGGAACATTTTTCCCTTTCTTTGTATCTTCCCCAGGTTCTTTCATGGGCATTCTATACTTTTCTGAGTAGATCCTTGGCCTCTTTGGTTAGGCTTATTCCTAGATATCTTATGGTTTTTGGTGGAATTGTAAATGTGATGGACTCCTTAATTTCTCTTTCTTCCATCTCATCATTAATATATAGAAATGCAACTGATTCCTGTGCATTGTTTTTATATCTTGCCACTTTGCTGAATTCTTGTATGAGTTCTAGCAATTTGGGGGTGAAGTCTTTTGGTTTTCCACAGAGTATCATGTCATCTGCAAGGAGTGGAGAGCTTGACTTAGTCTTTGCCGATGCAGATGCCTTTTATTTCTTTTGGTTGTCTGATTGATGAGACTAGGTACAATTTAAACAAAAAACAATTCAGGTTCCATTTTCCTACCTGACTAGTTCAGGCTCTGTCTCATGCTGAAATCTTTTGATGTCTGGTGATCCTTGATACTCTTCATTTTTTAAAGCGAGACACTTTAAAAACTTGGCTGGGCGCTCAATGTGCATGGCCTGGTTTTGTTCGCTGGTGGATATTTATGTAGATGTGGCCACTTTTCATTGGAAGAACTCCCAAGTATCAGAATCTTGTAGCTATTTTCTTTTGGCAGGTCTGTTTTTCTCTGAAAGGAATTCTGCACATATAAACCTGAGCCCTAGGACTCTGGAAGTCAAGTGTCAAAAATGACTAGAAGCTTAACTGTTCATTGAGAAGACTTGGACAGGCTCTGTCAGGGCAGACCCTCCTATCCTTAGCTGTTTGTGGAGTTCTCTCTCTCTCTTTCTCTCTCTCTTTTTTTTTTTTTTTTGAAAAGCACTTGTTAGCATGTAATGAACCTCCCCCTACATGGCTTCAACAAGCTACTAGAACACAGGCACCCCCACACACCCTTTATCTTCTCAGCTCTTCTACTGAAGAATTTGGCCTTTACGATGACAGGCTGTTTGGGGAGCTTTCCCTTTGCCAAAACTTTGTAGTAGCCCAGTCGCACCACATCGATAATAGGAGCAGCTCCAGTCTTGTTTTTGGTGGCATTTACCCATGTCTGCTCACTGACTAAGGTCCACAGTTTATAAAGGTTGACAGTTGGGCAGAAGCTCTGGTTCCTCTTTAAGTGGTAATGTCTCATACCGACTTTTCCAAAGTAACCTGGGTGATATTTGTCAAAGTTGATCCTGTAA